CCTGTTGGCCTTGTTCGAACTGACTCGAGCCTTGTGCGTAACGCCCTCACAAGAGGGGGAGCGCTGGCTGCAAAGGCCGCCGATGCTGCAATGGCACCTTTCTACGGCCTACCAAAGGTGCACAAACCAGGAAAGCCCTTAGGCCCTTAGGCTCCGTAATATAAAAAGCCAGGTTAATTATTATTGAGATCACTATTCAAATCATTTCAACGCATCCCGTGATAGTGGAGATCCTACCTACCAAGTACCTATTATAATTTGAAGTAACGAGTAGCTGACTTACCCTGCTTACGTGAAGTGTATTTTAATTTTCAAAAGTTCCCACCAACATACATATTTATTCTTTCATTTCTTACAGCTAAGTCGCCGTGAGAGATGGCGTGCGGATTATGAGTACGGTGTTTCCATGGAACTCTACGACGTGTGTCTCAGCTACGAGTTCGACAACCTTAGTGCGCAAGAACTTGCTCTGTGAGTCCCTCAGTTAGACATTTTTTGACATTATGAATATTTTCAAACCTAACTTTGCTTATAATAGCCCAATTCGGTCAGAGAAACTATTCGACTCTTCAAAAACCCTTGCACCTGGTGGTCATCTGCTGGATTCTAGATTGCTTGCTGAAGAAATCCTGCTTGGATAGCCAGCTTACTCTATCAGTATTAGTAGATTTCATACGTTGCAAGAGGCTGGGCCTTTACTAGGACATACATTTACACTTGTTGATTAACGTTCACCGATCGCTACCGGAACTTCCTCGTTCGGCTCTGCTTTGAGGCTCATTCTCGAGCCCCGTCATCAGGCACGCAGCGGCTAGTAGGCTAGGCAGATAGCATGGCTAACAAGGACAAGAGAGACTAGAATAGCCATTTCTGGTTCATAAGCTATCATCAGTTAGTTACACCCAATCCCAAGTGATGTTCTACTCGAGGCTCGAAACCGCGACCTTTCGAGCAGAAGTCTAACGTTCTAAGCACTGAGCTACGCGTTCGTTGCCTTGCAGATTTCTTTCGGGAGATATTGAGCAGAGCGGAACAAGTGAGTTCCGCTAGCGATCGGTGAACGCCAATCAACGAGTGTCAAAATTTCTCACTTTAAACCGACAAGAAAACAAGTCCGTGGTTGGAGCATTCGACCTCTTATTAAAAAGTTGCGGACTCGAGCCTCGTGTGGGGCACCAGTTGGGGCCGGTCATGACTGGCTGAGGATGCTTAATGAACCAGCAATGGCCATTGCAGTCTCCCCGGTCTTAGCCGGCAATGCTATCTGTCATGACACAAATTTTAAACTTCAGGCCAGACTTTTGTGGCAGCAATATGGTTAACAATAATAGCAACGGGTTCTCAAGGTTTCGGTATCTTAAGGCTATATTGACCACCGAAAAAAGACCCTTAGCCAAATGCCCAACTGCTGGATGAGCACGAATTATTTGTTTCGTGGCCGAATAATCTCATGTTTGGAGACATTAATGCAACAAACATCGAATACAACTCTGCCTCCGCCGGCTACCCTGAAACGGCATTTTACCAGCTACCTCTGGGTACAACTGGCAGTTTGATTCTCACGCAACACCTAGTGTTTTCGATGAGATTAAATGAAGACAGTAAATTGAGTGACAATGCCGACGTT